GTGACTATTGTGTTTCTTTTAGTTAATCCCTTTCTAAAAAGATCGACAGGTTTGGCCCGGTTGGGATGATTTCTGAATACAATTATGAAATCGATCTGTGACAACGCTTTTGCAAGCTTAGACACGCTTGCATAAACATGATACTACGATTATCAGTTGAGCAAGGCGGGACGAAGTTTTAACGTAAAAAATTTTAAGGCCAAAACTTCGTAACCAAACTTCCTTCGTGCCTTACTCAACTGATAATCGTAGTACTTTGGAGAAGATTGCGAACCGTTACAAATTTCGCCACCAAAACTTCACAGAAACCAATGGAGAGCTTCAAACTTAAATGTACAAACTTACTGTGACAAACTTAGTGACTCACTATTTAAGTGACTAGGAATGCAGACAGCGGTTGTTTGGTTTGAATATTTAGTTGTCAATTCTGGGCCACGAAAGTAAGCCGAAGTTATATAACAATGATTAAAATTAGCAGGCGTTGTGTTTTCTTTAGTTAGTCCCGTTCTAAAGAGATCGAAAGGTTTGGCCTGGTTGGGGTGATTTCAGGATGGAATATATTTAAATCGATCAGTGTTTACAACGCTTTTGCATACCTAGACATGCTTGCATAAACATGACACTGGCGAAAAGATTGCGAAGCGCCCGCACAAATTTCACCTTTAAAACATGACAGAAGTCAGCGAAAAGGTAACTTACTGACGGCAAACGAAGGACGAGTTTAGAACGTCAAGATACGTCAGAGTAACTAACTACATACGGAGGCAAGACATAACCAAACAGACCGCGTAATAAATTTCTTTCTATGTAGTATGTACAGAGACCTCATTAAGCAGTAATACTCCCAGCCGTACTTATCGGAATTGTACAAAGATCCTTTGTATTTACAAAGAGGAAAATTGCATACCTTGCCCGGCTTTCACCTTGTTAGCGAGTTGCTTGTTGCCTGCATTCTCCAGCAGGTTTTCCAAATAGGTAACATTTCCCAAGCAAATTTTACCTCTTTCGCACAGCAACTCGAAAAACGCACGCGGTGTCTTGACAGATTCAAGCGTCCCCCTGGGCAAATCTTCCTGGCACAAAAATTTTAATTTATCCAGTTCGTCCTCAGTTATATCTTCTGCTATATGTAACAAGAAAACTCGGAATGCTCTGCTATTTGCTGCCATAATCAGAGGTGACGCTATCTCTAGGATACGAGGAGGAGAATGGATGTGAAAGGTCGTGCCCTTTCTTTTAATATTCTCAATTACCGAGTCCAGACACGCTGAAATTATATTCCAAGTGNTGCTTGTTGCCTGCATTCTCCAGCAGGTTTTCCAAATAGGTAACATTTCCCAAGCAAATTTTACCTCTTTTGCACAGCAACTCTAAAAACTGAAGTGGTGTCTCGACAGATTCAAGCTCCCCCTTGGGCAAATCGTCCCGGCACAAAAATTTTAATTTATCCAGTTCGGACTCAGTTATATCTTCTGCTGTATGAAACAAGAAAACTCGGAATGCTCTGCTATTTGCTGCCATAATCAAAGGTGACGCTATCTCTAGGATACGAGGAGGAGAATGGATGTGAAAGGTCATGCCCTTTCTTTTAATATTCTCAATTACCGAGTCCAGACACGCTGAAATTATATTCCAAGTGGCTCAATCGATGGAGAACCCGTCATAGATTAATTGGGTAGGGAGCTTCGAGCGAGGGAGAAATGATGCCATATGAAAAGGACACTACCGTTCATGTGAGACTACACTATACGTCTACGTGACGTGCATATATGCATTCTTGCGGATAGAACTTTAAGCAGCTTGGATACGTCACATAATACCTTTTGTGGTGCCAAGTATTAATAACAAATTTCAATAGACAGTTTGGACGGTTTTCTCCAGTGCTGTGATGGCAAATGATTCCTTAATGGGTGGGGGAGAGTTTGGGGAGGGGAGGGCAAAGTGCCCTCGCTGATTTAAAAGCTTTAGCAACCGCAGCAACTTTCATGCTATGGTAGTTAAACTTTGAGACTTTCTTAACAAATTATAAGGCAACATTTTTGTGGGTTTATTGCAATATCTAGGTCACGTGACTTGATATATCTGTGGCAAACATGTTTCCAAAATTCTGAAAATCCGAAAATTAGTGTTTTTACATCTTACATGTAAATATCTGCTAAAATAAGAGTTTGGATTTCATATTTCCATATTTTTTCCGATTCTTTACAGTCAATTTTGGAGATCGAGGCAAAGATTTCCAGTAGCTTTAACGCCGGTTTATTCTCCCCAAAATAGTTGTGTTTTTAGGAAATGATAAAAATTATATGTTTGTTTTATTTTTCTCTTTGATATCTACCCGAGATGAAGCAGTTCGATCAAATTATCCACAAACCTCAAGGAAGTTTAAAACTGGCTTTCAGGGATAATTTGACGGTATTTCTGAATGTCACTTCTGATCAGTAGTTAGTTCTCTTTTTTATTCTTTAACACCAAGAAGGCAAGAGACGATGATTTAATCAGATGATGGGCTGTTTTAGGTCTGTAGGCGCTGCAATTCAACGGGTTTTTTTTTCTTTGTAAACAGCTAGTAGATATTTTCGAGATTTGAAATAGTGAAAATCTTCGTCCAAGAAATGGACTATCTTACAAGCCGAGCTTAGAGAGCGCGAAGCTCTATCGAATAGGTTTAGGGTCTTCAGATTCTCCTTGGACGCGATCTATTCAACCAAACTTTCCGGAAATTTTAAGTCTAAATCTGAACGGATCGGTTCGGTCCAACGGGAAAAGTTTCGAAAAAATATGTATACCTTTCGAGGTGGACCACTTTTCTCGGTTGGACCGGTCCGATCGAAATGGACCTTCCACTTCACCATTTCGAGTCTCAATCCCAGTACATTGCTGTTCGCTATTTTCCATGTACAACATGGAGAAAAACACTTATCATTGCAGCTTCTATGGATTGTTAACTGCGGATCTGTCTGTGTTACTCGTACATCCATGTGCAGTTACAAACAGGTCTGTAGCTGCTTCGCAAACCAAGTGTATGTTTTTGCTGTTATCGGTTTTTAAAGACGAGTTATTTTTCCGAGAGAATTTGGAATGTTCTTTTCGTCCTTCGAAAGTGGTGTTTGGACTCATACGGCAAATATCTGGGAACGGTTTGTTCACTGATAACCCTTTATACAGGTTAAATTACTACGCATGAAACAGCTCACACAATATTATTGACATTACTGTCTAAATCGTCATCTGGCTCTAACACGAGGAACAGTGATCCAACATCCTCCGTTTTAAATAAGCACGAAACTCGCTTAGCGGGTAGAATGGAACGAGACCGTCCGAACCCGTCGCGATCCATTCGGCACCAAGAAATTTTCGAACCTCAGCCCGGAAATTTTGGTTGAATGGATCGCTTTCCTTGTTTCGTGCCGGGCCTTGCCAGTGACGTGTCTCCAGACCTACCTTTTCCTCGTGCCGAGACCCCGCCGATTCAGAGAGATAGGCAGCTATAGGCGCTCTGGGGTAGGCCTAGACAGATTCTGCACGGCAACTTTTGAGCAACTTTTACGATTTTTAGTAACTTTTTCGATTCTGAGCAACTTTTTGGAGAGTGAGCAGCTTTACAGCATCTTTTCTAAAAGCTAGCATACTTTTGGCATATTTTCACTATTTCAAAATCACATTCAGATAAGTAATTGATATTTTAACACGTTTTCTTTGGAAATTCACAAGAAATTCACTAGAAACTCTCTTGCGTTTTGATCGGTAGCTTGTGTTGATAGATTCCAAATATGGATATACCGGATGTGACTTCATTTCCAGAATGGGTATCCTGTGTTAATATTCCAAATATGGTACAACTAGCTAAAAAAGGCGCTTTCTTCTGACAATGAAGAATCCGATGAAGAAGAGTAGCAAAGAGATCCAATCCAGGGCTTCTCTCGTAAAGAAACGACTCCTTGTCCAATCCAGCTCTCCCTATGCCGAGAGGGTATTTAGTCTGCTCAGCACCCTTTCATCCCAGCAGGAAAGCGCCTTAGGTCAGGTAAAACAGTTGCCACAGAAAGCACTAGGATGAGTCCAGAGTTATTGCTTGGTCTTCAAGAAACTGTAACTGAACTGAAACTACTCGTTTTGTTATTGCACAGGAACAGAGCCGGCTTGCAGCTCTTCGATTTCAGCATGCAACTATAAATAATTTTTAAGCAACTTTTGCGATTTTAAGGAACTTTTGAGCAACGTTTTAACATTTTTTGAGCAGAATCTGTCCGGGCTTACTCTAGGGACGAGAATGACCTGCAGAGGACACGTTGTGTAATTGTATATAATTCAATCTTTTTGCCCAGTTTACTGACCACGGAATACCGCGGGCACTGATCGTCGTTTACAGCGCCGCCATGTTGGTCAGCCAAGGCTTCAGAAAGCTGTATTGTAAGTATCTTACTTATGATTTCTATACTTAGTTGTCCACCAGCTAAAATAAATGAAAAAAAAACAAGTTTTAATGAGGTTTCAATCTGTGCTCAGTTATGTGATCAAAGTTTGCGGTGACCAGCGAATTGTCCCCTGATCCAGACTACCGGTACTTGAATCGTAAAGTCTGCTTGTATTCTGTATGGTTCACGTGAACTTTCCTGTGAAAAACTTGCGTCACTCGCACTATACAGTGGCTATCAGATTACTTACAACAAAAACCCTGGTTTTCCTCGTAATCAAATACACTGGAACTGATAAAATTTTGCAAAATATAAAAGCTTAACATAGTCAAACCAATGTCAAACCATTATCTAATAGTGTTAGCTCCTGACTACCACTACCCTTTCTGGCTTTTAACTTTTTTTTTTTTACATAAACTTGCATGGAAATGCACTGTTTGCTACAATCCCAGAATGTGAACATCAATTATATCATGCTAACACTGAGAAAACAAATTTAAATCATTTTATCCCACCTTAACCTTCTCATGTTTAGTTGTTTTATTTAGTGTCGGTTCTCTGAAGGCACATATCAGCACAGTTTGACCAGGTTGTCTTGATTTCTTTGTTTGCACAGGGAATGTGTCAGGTGCTTCTTTACAAATTGTGTGTTCTTCAGCAATCTCTGCATGTCTATACAGACTTTAAATCCTTTTTCCTGTCTTTTTTCTACTTCACATAACATACAGTAACTGTAAAGAGAATTGTAGGTCGAATGTTTACGTCTCCATCTGATAAGGATTAATTGATGAAACAATTTAGGGACTCTTCATACAAGCCGGGTCAACTGGGCTGGCTTGGTTTCTTAGATCTTGCCTTGCCACTCATTCCTTTGTAAAAATATTGATGTTTTCATATGAGAAGCCAGGCAAGAACACTCCAGCCCATGTGGTGGGGATGAACCTTTTTTAAAAAAATTGCTTCGCTTTTGCAACATAAGGGCCAAAATGCATAATTTTTGTCTTGTGTGTATTTTCACTCCAGAAGTACATGAAATATCTTTATTGGTAAAGTTACAAGAGTCTGCAAAACTGTGGCAGACGCTAATGAGACAAGTTTATGTTCCACCATTTTGGTTGTGTTTCTTGAATTTCATCCTGGTTGACCAGGCTGAAATTTCCCATATGAACAGACAAAAAAATTTGTCCTGGTAACCAAGCCAGCCCGGCTACCGAGCTCACATGAAGAGGCCCTCAGTCAAGTATGATTCAAGTTTATTTTCATGAATTTCAGATAGCTCTGCAAGGCCAGTGATTGGTGTGGCAGTTTCTTGTCAGGTGATTGGTTTACATGTAATCCAGTTTACACTTATTTCGATACAAAGTTGCTTCAATACAAGTTGATTCAGTACAAATCAAAGTTGATTTGATACAAACTGAAGTCAATTCAATACAAACTGAAGTTGTTTCATAGCACAAGTAAACCAGAAGAAATATCTTAAGGAAAGTGTCTTCATCTTCGCATCGCATATGTACACCAGCAATTGATTGTCAGAATTTGGTTTCTGGAGTAAAAGACCAGGAGGAGAAGATGTTTGTCTGGAGGTCTCTGAACTTTTTCAGCTGATTTCACCGTAACTTCTTCTCTGAAAGGAGCCTAGACAGGCAAGCCTCACAGTGGAACAAATTCTCCACCAGGAAATAAAAACATTAATAATTTCAGACTG